AGTACCAAAAGTGATTACTGCCCAGGGAGAACACATCCCACGTGGCCAGTGTGGTGGTGTACACCTGCCTGGATTAGCTCTGCAAAGGCTGCAGGGATTTGCTTCTTTTCAGCTTCACAGAGCTGCAACTTCTTGTCATCCTCTGCCTCTTGGTTTGGGCTGCTTTTCAACCAGTGATGTCTGAAGGTGGTTTTCACACATGCCAAGAAGCTCCTGTGCTTCTCCTCACAGCAGCAGTGTGAGTGGAGATGGGCAAGAGGCAATCTCATCCTCAGGTGCCCTGCTTGGTGTGCCAGGGGCTGGCAGAGCTGGAATGAAGGCCAACATAAAATCATACAATCATAGAATGTTAAGGGGTTGGAATGGACCTTAAAGATCAGCCAGTCCCAACCCCCCTGCCATGGGCAGGGACACCTCCCACTAGACCAGGTTGCTCCAAGCCTTGTCCAGCCTGGCTTTGAACACTGCCAGGGTTGAGGTATCCACAACAGCCCCCTTGGGCAACCTGTTTTCAGTGTTTAACCATGTTAACATGCTCTCAATTGAATTGCTGCAGGAAAAATAAACCCTCTGGCTGCTCTCCCACCACAGCAATGAGACCCATAAGGGTCTCATCTGAAGATCCACGTGTTGCAAACCACTTGTGGGGTTTGAGGCAGCTCAGATGTTGTTCCAGTGCGTGGCTGTGGGACCAAGTCTCCCTTAAGCTTCTCCAGACCAAAGATGTTGGAATGAGCTGGCTGGACTTTGGACAAGTGCCTCCCCTATGTGTAAAAAGGTGGTGGGGTCGGGATGGGGTGTGTGGAATTACTTCCCTCATATTGGGGTAACAGAGTAGCACTGAGTGCTTGGGGAAGTCCTGCAGAACAGGGAGCACAGGAGAGACTCCAGGAGGGAAACACTCCTAGGCTGTAGTGCTCGGTGTGGGGAGACAGCTCAGGCCCTGGAAGGGACTTGCTGACTTAATATTTCTAAAATGTCATTCGAGGAGCTGTCCAGGACTTGTCAGCCCAGCCCAGGACATGCTGCTTCTCTCCTTAAAGGGAGTTTGTGCTGCCAGTTGACAGCAGTCAGAGCAGATTCTTCACCATGGCTCTGCTGCTGGGGGCAACATCTGAAGGGCACACACACAGGGTGATCCAGGACAGGGCTGGATGTGCTGCCAGCTCTGCCCCAGGCAGGAGGGAGTTCCTGGTGGGGGGATCTCACCTGAGCTGGTGGATGCTGGTGATGGAGGTGATATCCCCTCTGCAGACAGCCTGTCCTGGTACATGGATCACTGCACTGTTCAGAAAACTTGGCCTGATTCCTGACCTTGACAGTGTGTAGTAAAGCACAGACTAAATCCTACCATGATCTTTGGGACCTCTCCCTTGTGAGAGTGCCAGTGGGTCTGGTGTGGTCAAGAGGCACCTAATGGATGTGCCTGCAGGCAGGGTTTCAGTGTGACAACCCTGCCAGTCCCCAGGCTGGCACGGAGGATGCCAGCCATGAGCATTTGGAGTCTCTGACACTGAGCAGCAGCAGAGTCGCTGCCTGAACGCTTTCTGTGCAAATTGGAGTTATTGTTCACTGTGATTGTTTTACTGCAACGGCCCTTGGTGCCTCAGAACAGGGCAGATATGTTCTCAGGGACACAAGAGGGGAAGCAGGATGAGGTGGGCTGCGGGCAGCATCCCTCTCTTAACCTGGGAACTGCGACAGATGAAGCTGTAAAGTCACTTCTCTGGGTAACCTGTAGCAAAATTGGGAAATGAAGCTGGATTTGCTGAGACCCAAGGCCTTTTAACCTCCCTGTCTTTTCTCATAGGAGCATTTCTAGGTAGCCAAAAGGATGGACCAGACAGTAAACTAGATTTACAGTTTTTTATTTTTCAAACAATGCTCTGAAATACTTTATCGAGCAGCAAAACTGATTGCATTTGCTCATCTCCCACTCCCACGTACAACACAGAGAGATTTTCTCCAGGATCATATTCCTTTCAAAAGGATTTTTTGTACCATGCTCTGCTCAATGCCTTTCTGGGAAACATGTGCAGCCATTTGATAAATATATTGTGAAAAACACGGCTGAAGTGGCAGTCTGCCTGCAGCAGAGGAACAGCTACAGGGAAAAATGGTAAATAAGATATCTGTAAGTAAATTAATTTTGCTCATATAAGCTTGTTTGCAGCTTTGGTTCGTGTCTGCAGCATAATCCTCTGATCTACAGGAGGTGTTCAGTGTGGTGGGGGATCAGCGTGGAGAACGTCGGGCCCAAAGCTGTGCAGGAGCTGGGAGAAGGTGGTTGTGGAGTTTGTTTTGTTGGGATTTCCCATCCCAGCAAGCTGTGGTTGCGTCCCAGCCTGACAAACTGCAAATCCACCATTGATTTTTGCCTCGCAGAAATTGGTAATTGCCTTTTGTGCCGAGTTGATGCACAGCGAGCCTGGTCTGTGCGTAACTGATTTGCTTATTCAGAGATCTTTGCTTTCCAATATGGTTTTGGAGGGTTTATCAGTGAAGAGGAATCCTTCAAAACAGCAGAACCTGAAACAGAGCCCAGTTCTACACATGAACAATTGTTTCCCTTAAAGTCTGCTGGATTTTTTAGCCTACTTTTAGCAGCACTGCATTATTTTTGTGACGCTGTGCGGGTCTGTTTGTTTTGATCGGATAAACTGATTTATGGGGTTTATCTTCAGTTTATCTATTTAAGTTGTCAATTAGCTGAAGATTTATTTTGCAGCCTGTGCTGTGAATTAGAGCTGTGCTTCAGCTTTTGAGGGGGTGACACCCTGGGGCGCCTGGTTTGGGTGATGAGGAGCTGTGCAGGTGGCTGACACGGGCATTGCTGTTTGCTGGGACCTGGCTGCTCTTCCCAGTGCTTCCAGCCTTTTTTTCCTGTTGGCAGAGCAGCGTGACATGCCCAGGTGTTCAGTCCAGGGGGGTGATTTGTGGGCTTTCGTGTCCAGCCACACAGCAACAAGAGCAGATTCTTCCTTCACCTCGCTCCCACATATGGGAAAGACCTGGTGGGAGGAGGAGGGAAGAAGGTGGAGGAGCAGCTGCAGGTTGATTTTCCTCCTATGAGTGAGGAGAGCTGTGAGTGTCCAGAAGCTAAAGCTGCTGCAAGGAAAGGCCCTGGGTTTATTTCTCTGTAGGCAGAAGAGCAAAGCTAGGCTTTTTAACTCAGGGTGGAATTAAAGGTTTCCCCCTATCCCTTGTGCAAGCTGGATTAAATGGTGGAAGCCTTTTTACTGCCTCCCTCCCTTCATTTAAAATCAGCTTCCAGCTGGGGTTTGGGGGCTTGGGGGAGCAGGGAGGTCTGGCAGAGGGGAAGCTCATGCTGGTTTGCCTCTGTGTTTGTGGGTCCACGTGCAGTGTGTGCTGGACCAAACCCCACACCCGTTCCCTTGCTGCTCTGAGCCACCCCCAGTGCCTGCACCGTGGCTCCAAAAGGGATTTGTGCTTTGGGGTTGAAGCTTTAAATACAGTTTGAATATAAGCTTTTAAAGCTGATTTCACCATTTCATGTTTTGGGTGAGTGACACTTCTGTCAGCGTGTTTTGAGCAAGCCTGCAGAAAAGACGGGAGAAAGGGAAAAGGGGATGAGCAGCGGGATGCAGGGAGGAACATCTTAGGTTTGGATATTTCCTTTCTGTGGCACCGAGTGCCCAGGGTGCATCCCTGTGACTGGCACATCACCTAGGGTGAAACCTCCCATCCAGATCTTAATTTAGTTTCTTATTGATATTAAAGGTTGCCTGAGCTTGGCTGCTGTGGGGCACAGAGTCCACTCTAGTGTGTTTAACTGAGCACTGCTGGGCAGCTTTGAGCATGGCTTAACCTGTGCTCCTTGACAAGAGCGTTGTGTATCTTCCCAGGCTGATGCTGGATGGGGCTTTTTGGACTCACTCCCACCCTTTCCTCATGGAAATGAAATGTAGATGCAGGTGTCACCTGGCTTGCAGGGGTTTTATGCCCAACCTGCTTTGCATACAGAGAACTGAAGGCTGCAATATTTCAGGGCTGCTTTGGAATTCTCTGGATGCAGGCCAGGATGCTGTGAGTAAGGCTAAGTTCTCCCCCACTGTCCCCAGAAACTGGGCAGAGGGATGAGATGATGCAGTGCTGCATCTTCAGAGGTGATTAAGGGTTGAGAGCCATGTGCTGCAGAGGATCATTTCCTGCTCTGGACTGTGCTGGGGAGACTGAAATCTGTTTTAAATTGAGACTGAAACTAGCATCCAGGAAACAGCGATTTTATGCAGCAGTTTTAGCTTTCTATTGCACTTTTGTGTTCTGTAGGTCTTTTCCCAGGGAAAAGCTGATTCCCACATGCTGTAGTCATTAAGCATTGTTGATTTGCACCTCAATATAGATATTATACATGGTGGGCAGCAAGGTTAAAGTGTGTTTGCACACAGGCTGTAACTGTGGGGGGCCAGGGGCGACCCTGGAACCAGGTTGGCTTTTAAATTCTGCCTTTGCTGTTGACTAAATTGGAAATTACAATGTGGAAGTCACCAGGCATGGCTTGACTTCCAGGCAGTTCTGTGACATCCTCTAAGGCCCTACAGGGCAACAGAGAGACTGGGGAGCCCTAAATGGCTGTGGAGTTGTTGTTATGCCTGTTGGGTTTGGGTACATGCCAGGAGCTCTTGTATCCTATAAATAAGAATTCAAGAGGTTGAGAGTTCAGTCCTTTACCCTCAGCTGCACTTCCCCTGTTGCTGTAAGCTCCGGTTGGCTGTTGGTCTGGCTGCAGAAGTTCTCTTTAGCTGTGTCACTTGTTGCACATCAGATAAAAATCTCATTTTTATCACTTTCCTATCAAGGTCAGTGCCTTTTGTTCTGAGTGTTTGCACCTTGTTTACAGCCTGCCAGCGTTTTGCCTTCCCTTTCTCGTGTGCTGGAAGAAGCCAGAGTTGGCTGTCTGGGTTATGTCTGTGTTGAGTGAACATTAGTCCTCAGTTTAGCTCTGTTTGTGTTTCCTTTCAGGTGTTTCATGGAGCTTTTCCTCCGTGCCCTATGCTGCCTGTGAGGTTTAATATTGCTGCTCTCCACGGGTCCATCTGAGACCATAGAAGCTGGACACACGATGGGGGACTCTTCAGGAAATGCCATGGATGGAGGCACGGACACACAAACTGAACTGGCAGAGCGGGTCGCAGCCCTAGATGTGTCTGTTGTCCCAGACAGAAGTGACCAAAATGGTGAAGATAACGGTGAAGAAAATGACACAGTGTTTTCTGACAATGTAAAGGACATCCAAAGAAATGGAGTCAACACTGGCGTGGGAACCAATGAACTTCTACCTTCCCCGCAGTCAGAAGATGCCCAATTGAGGCACGTTCCCAAGAGACCTCCCACTAGACCTGGTCTATCAAGTAGGAAGTTGTCTCTTCAGGAAAGATCATCAGGAGGTTATTTGGCTTCTAGCAACACCCCAGGTTGTGGTCCCTATGCCACAGGACCATCACCACGTATAATGAGGAGACCAACGATAGAGTCCAATCGGGTTTCCATCTCAGATTCTGAGGTAGGCATGTTCGCCTCTACAGCTGTGGGATAGAGATGAGATAAGTCTTTCTTAACTGGTAATGGGAGCAGTCTTCTGAAGCAGTAGATCTGAAAGCGCTGTTATTTCTAAGGGAAAAAAAAAATCCCTAAATCCCTGGAACTAGGGATCGCATTGGTTTGGAACGGCTCCATCCCCCAGACCTCTGCTGAGTGTAACCCTGGTCCTGACGTTTGGCTCCTTCAGCCATTACCTGCTTGGGATGGTCCTGTTAAGGACTGTTGTGTCATGGTAGAAGGCAGAAGGTCTTTCAGGTTGTTCAGAGAAAGGGCTGTGACCAAATGACTTTGCTCTCGTGTCCCTGCTGTGTGCACCCTTTGGGAATTCATCAGTCACAGCAGCTTTGCTGATGGTATTTTATGGAATTAAACTTCTGGAGATTATGTATCTCCTGTTGTGTTTTGCCATAATTGCAGGCATGATTTAATTTTATAAAGAGCTTAAATGCACTGGAGTTTCCTGCTCCTGTCAGGGCTTTCCTTTGTCTTTAAAGCATTTGTAACAGCAGTGGTAACCAAGGGCTGTGACCCTCCTCTCCTTCAGAGGAGTGTCTGGGTGGCTGTGGTTGTTCCTGCCATCCATCTTCCCCCTGCTCTCCTGGTACCACACCTGTCCTGGAGGTGTGACACACTGTCAGTGGTCGAGTGTCTTGATGGAAGCAGCTGCTGGTTGCAATTCCCAGTGCTGTGATGTGCTGCTGTGGGGAGGACAGGGAGCAGAGAGAGGGGCTGCTCAGAGCACACTACCCAGTGTCAGGATGAAGACATTGAGCCTGAAGCAATTCAGGGACCCAAATCGCTGGAGTTTAGACTTTTATGTGGGTCCAAGTGGCCTGAAGCTGAAATCTTAGTGTGTGGCTTAGTGTTTCCCTCCTGAGAAGTGGGTGCTTTCTCCTTGCACATCTGAGAGGATGGGGCTGTGCACGACCAAATCAGCCACTGTCCTCTGGGAAGTTGTGCAAGGCACATTAGCAGTGGGATGGATGCATCCCCAGCTGATCAGAGGTTACCTGCAGAAGGTGCACTGCAGAGACTGCAGCTTCTATGACAGCAGCCATATGCTTTAATAAGGGAGTCAGGGAGGGAAAGGAGCCAGTTCTTGGAAGCAGGACGTGACTTGAGTGCCAGCTCTCCCATCCTGCAGTGCTGTGACTGTGCCAGGAGTGAGGCTTGTCTGAAACCTTTCAGGGTAACCGTGGTCGAGTGTGACTGGCACGTTCCCATCTGCAAGGAAATTCAAAGTACTCCATCCTCTTCCCCAGCATCTGCATCCTGGGGAGCAATAGTTACTGCCTAGGGCTGGGAAAGGCTGAGTTTGAAATGCAGATGTGGAGCCTTTGTGTCCTTGCTCCTGCAGCAGCTCTTTATGCAGTGCTGCCTTTTTCATGGTCACTTTGATATCACTTGATTGTTAGAGCCCTGCTCTGGTGCAGCCCAGCTGTTCTCGTTGGAAACCATCATTCATATTGATGGGGAATTGCTGTGGTAGGAGGGGAGGGGAGCCTGGGAGAGAGCTGGGCTTGTTCTGAGGTGGGTGCTCGCCCTCACAGAGGTGCTTCTGGGAGTTGTGCTGCTTCTTCCCAACTTACAGGGATAGTATCCATATCCTGTAAGGAACAGCAAAAGGACTAAGGAAGATGCATGTTTGGTTACAGTGTGAAGTTTGAGGCTGGGCACTGAGTCATGAGGAGTAAGTGTCGGTGTGTGCAGCCTGCACACAGCCCAGCTCCACGTCCTGCCTGTGACCTTCCAGGTGCTGCTAAGTGGTTGTTGTGTTCATGGCTGGGACAGGCACTGCCAGTCCAACCCCAAGCTGTACAGCTGAGATACAGCAGGGCACTAAGCAAGAAATGGAGAGCAAGTTGTCTGTTCTCTGTCAGGGCTTCTAAGAGTTACCGGGGACTCTGTGTGGAGGTTTTTGGTCCTGTTGGGGATAAAATAAGACTGTGATGAGAAATACAGTCACAGTGCACTTATCAGCTGCTGGTGTGTGTCTGTTGATCACTTTGATGCACAGACCCTCAGTGAGCAGGGGGGTGTGGGTCACTCTGACAAGATCCAGCTCACCGGTCACAACACTGCCCTGAACTGCCTGCAAATGACTCTGTGACACACCTTGTTCTAGGCAAGCTGCACATTTGTATTCCAGTCCAGGTCTCTCACCTGCTTAAAACCCTTTTGGAGTTGCTCCTTTCTCCTTGCATCGAGTATCCACCACCATCAGTCAGTGCCTTCCAGGAGGCAGAGCATCCATCACTGCAGCTCGTGGCCACTGCCCGAGTCACTCACAGGCTGTGCAGAATTGGAGATGAAGTTGAGGAGCATTCAGGCTTTATCAGTGGCACCCGAGCAGGGACCATCCATCAGGAGCAGGGAGAGATGGCACAGCTGCCTGTCACAATTTCCTGTCACACTGATAGCCATCTCAGACTGAATCCGCTTCCCTCTTCATTCAGAGATAGCAGGATGGCAGCTCCCTGCCTGCCTGTCAGTGATGCTGTACCCTGGACTGATCTGGAGAAATAATGGAGAGATGTGATATGTGGAGATGGAATGTGGGGCTCCAGCAGGAGGTGAATGTTCTGTTGTTCGCTGATGAATTATGGAAGAACATTGTGTTCTCTGGGAGAGATGCTGCTCAGCTTTTTAATGCTGGTTTAATATCACAGGCTGGGAGGAAAATTTCTGTCCAGGGATCAAGAGGGCCAAGAGCTGAAGCTGAACCTGTGGCACTGAGAGGGGATTCGTCCAGTGCCACCAGCAGGCAGTGAATTGGGCTGTCCCATCACTGGCACCGATAGCACAAACACCCTTCTTCCAAGTGCTTTTTGGGTTTGGTTTTAAGAAGATAGTGGCTCCTGGGCTAGCAGGGCTGGGAATTGTTGTATTGCACAAAAACTGTTCCCTGTCAACCAAGGAGAGCCACCAATTAGCCAGTTGCCCTGGCACAAAGGTTGGCAACTGCTGGTGTCTTGCAGCCACTGCTAAGTCTGGATCTGCAGTATTAACTCTGCAAGAGAAGTAACCTGTTCTGCTCTCCTGACAACATTGTTTTGTACTTAATTGACCTGATCTGTCATATCTCTATCAAAAATTCATCTGTAATTAAAAAAATTCCCTGTTTGTTCCCCTCCTTAGATTATTCATGGGCTATGGCCTGGAAGGTTCTCTCAGTGCTGCCTTCTCTGGCAGGAGTGCCTGTTTGGATTTCTTGCTGCCTTTGCTGCCTATCAGTGCTTCTCTCCACCAAGGGAATGGCTTTGCCTTTAGCTGTGGCACAGAAGTGATTAGGCTGAAGCCATTAAGGGTACATAAAGCTGCAGAGCTGAGGCACAGGCCCCAGAGTTTAGGTTGCTGGCCCATTTTGCCTCTGTTGATATGATGTTCCCAGCTCGTGCTCAGTGCTGACAGCAAGGCAAGAGGAGAGGATTTTCCTGAGGCTGCTAAAAGCAGCTTCTGCTGTGCTGCCCAGATGATGCCCCAGTGCTTGTATGTCCTAGGAAAGGACTCCAAAGGTGTTTCTACAGAGTGGTGGATGTCTTGTGACTGTGTTTGACAGAACTTGTCCTATCTAAGATGGCAAGGCTTGATCAGTGAGAGGGGAGAGGTGCTGCTTGTTGGAAAGTGGCATTTGAAAGTGCAGTGCTGGTGGGGTTTTTTTAATTCTGTCATCCCAAACTAACCTCTTTAGGCAGCCAAGAAAATTCTTACTTGGAGAGTGACTAGGAGAAAAATAAAAGTTGTCTTTTTCCGGGCTTTCTCCCCAGACCTGCCAGCACAGTTAATTGCTTTATACTGTCTTTTCTCTGGTCTCTTCTGGCTGAATTGTCCTTTCCCTTTCACATGTTCCCTTTCTCTCCCTGCATCCACCCATTCCCTGGCATCCCAGTTCCCCTTCCCTGGTGTCCATGTGGTCTCTCCACCCTCTGGGATCAGTAGGAGGCTGTTCCAGTTCCCCACTGCCTGGGCAGCTCTGCAGGTCGTGTGTGCTCCAGCAGGAGTGGAGAGGATGAGTCAGGATGGTGTGTTCTCCCTCCTCAGAGATGCTCCTGACCTGAGGATGCAGGGAGGAGGATGAGCTGACAAAGGGAATTTTCCTAGGCTCGGTGTGCGTGGTTTACCACAGAGGCATGGAAAATAAATCACTTCCTTGTCCTTTCTTTCCTTGGCTTTCCACATTGTTGTCATAGCCCCCTGCTTGTTTGGCCAACCAAAGGTTTGAAGGAACTGGTGTCGAGAGCTGAGAGGCAGTGCCTTGGTGCTGGGCTGATCCAGGTGTCACACTCCTCCAGCCTCTGGAAGCTGCCTAGTTTTCTTCATAAAGTGATTTCCTTGCTGTGCACAAAGCAAAACTCATGTGGGACCAGGGCAGAGGTGGGGACTGAGCTCCTGCTCAGCATGGGCTGAGCTTCCCCTTCCCAGCCCCTCGAGTCCCACAAAGGAATTCCTTCTAGAGGTCTTACTGTGGTGCTCAAACCTGAGCTCTCCTGAAAAGATCAAAGATACTTGGAAAACATTTCTTCAAAGACTCCCCCACAGGCAACGCTAATTTCTTTTCCTTTGGTTAATTAACCTTTATTTAAAGTTACATTTCCAACTCCTCCAAGGGTAAGGTTTGAGAGAAGGAGAAAACCCAGAGCTGCAGTTGGAGAGGGGCTGGAAAGGGGCTGCCTTGCTCCCCCTGGTCCCAGTCCCTCTTTTCAACCACTCTCCCAGTGATATTCCAGGGACCTGGTGAGTGCCCAGGCTCCTGCATCCAGCTCTGGGGTCCCAGGTGGGTGCTGAGCTTTGTGCCCAGCCATGGCCAGTGCTCCTGCAGCAGTGCTGGGCTTTCTCTTTTGCACTTGGGTTTGGATGTTGTTTAAAAATCTGTTTATTTTTCTTACCTCCATGAGGTCTGGCCTTCCTGTCTGTCTTTCTCTGTCCCTGAAGAACTTTACTAATTTGTATTCACTGCTGCCCTTAATACCCATTTTCTGACCTTTATTTTCATTTTATCTGTTTTTAGAAGTTCTTTTTGCTTCCCCTTCCAGGCAGGATGAGTTTAAACCAGTGTTCCTTCATTACTGGCTTTTAGTTCCCACTTTTTTTCCTCCCATGCTTCTCTTTAATGTGCATTTCTGAATTGCTGAAAATTATAGTTCTTTTCAGATTGATAAATTTAACTGCTTTTAGTGGGCAAAATTCTCCATTATATATGTATGTGTGTAGGCAGTCTGATTGTTTTCAGAAATGTCTTATTTTGGAAATCAGTGCCGGTTCTTCCTTTCAATCCCCGCATCTCCCCTGAGACAGTAAAGGCTCAATTCTCAATTTTTCAGAATTTCTGTCACCCAGTGGTGGCCACAGTGGATTTGTGGAATTAGGCCTGAGCTCTGGACTGAACTGTGCTTTGTGATTTTTGACCAATTTTTGTTTTCTGTGGCATTAATTCCTCCCCTTCCTCTCTTGACTAATACCTTGGACATGTTAATGAACGGGGCATCTTGTTTTTTAAGGCAAAACAATTATTGCACACTTGGACAGACTGAGTCTAATTTGCTATCAGCTTTTCATTAAAGGATCTCATTAAGGTTCTTACTCTGTTTGTATTTATCAGCAGTTGCAAATACATTGGCGTGATGAAATCAGGAGAACTGTACAATGTTATCTTAAAGAAACACTTGGCCCAGAGATAGGTGTTTCTCTCTGATAAAGGAATTGTACAATTATCCCACTTCCTGCAGGAGAACCAAATAACATAATAACAACCCTGCCAGTCTGCAGCAACACGTGGCAGGAGCTGCTTGAACTGTGAATTATGGTCTTTCAGCAAGGGGAAAAAAAAAGGTAGGAAGCACCTATAATGTGGTTTGATTTTGCTGTGTTCAGCTCAAGTGCTGGAAGCTGGGCAGAAGCTGAAGTGATGGTGCTTCTCACCAGGAATTACCTGAGGGGTAATGGAGGTGTGGGGCAGGTTGGGATGTGGTGACAGAGAGTGTAAACTCTGGGAGGCTGTGCTGCAGGCCCTGGCATTGCCTGTCCCTTGGACCCTCTCTGGGTGTTCCCCTCCCAGTATTTATCCACCCCTTTCAAAAAATCATCCCCTAGAAATGGGTGGCCTGGTGTTGCTCACGAGCTCCTTTTAGCAGCAGTGAAACACCAGAGAGATGCTTCAGGTGGTCAGTCTGGTGTGGGATAAGAATGGTAATTTCTGGCCAGAGTAAGAGGGGTGATGGAAATGTGATGGTCAGAGTCAGAGGAATTGGTGCCTTGGACACAGGGACAGGGCACAGTCCCTCCTCAGTTGCACTAAATGCTTTGTGAGGGGGTTTGTATCCAGCACAAAGGGCTCTGATCCTTGAGGATGAAGGGAAAAGATGCCACCATGGCTTGAAACAGAGTGCAGACCAAAAACTCTGGGGCTATGTGTAGAAGGCTGTATTTACTCCTGCAAGTAATCCCTACTCAGGGGAGGAGGCCTGATAACAGGACCTGGTCATTGCAAGCTTGCTGGTTTGAGGAGCAGGAGATGTGAGGTGGTTGGAGGCTTTCTTGGAGGAGTGGTCGCTTTTCCTGCCTGTCCCAGCCTCTCCAGTGAGTGTTTCCCCATCTGCAGCACTGCAGTTTTCACAGGACAGGGGAGAGGGATACAAAGCTGAGCACAGGGAAAACCAGGGCAGGAGACATAACAGAAAACTGCTCCTGCCTAATTTGTGCAAATCCCCACGATGGGAAGCACGGCCTCGAGCTGGGAAGTGAATCTGCTGACAGTGTTTGTGAGGGAATTTGTCCTCCACGTGCCTGTACCCCATGTTCCTGCATGCTGCCCCCTCCTTTGGGGAGGGGGGTCCTTTCAGTGGCCTTGTGCCTTATATCTTGGCATTTGCTGGGTCATGCTTTCTCCTCTGGTTGCTCCTCGTTCTGATGGATTGGTTTTTACCTTTGGAAGGATGTGTGCTTTCTAGCAGCAGAGTTAATACACTCCTGTGGCCCCATTACTCACATTTGGCTCTTCTTCCCTGTCAGAGAGGTGGAAAAAACTTCCTTCACTGGCGACAAGGTGAAGATTTAATCATTCCTTGTCTTCCTGACAAGCCACTGCTTGCAGGCTTAAAAAGTCATCAATTCCCCATTTCTTAATTCTTCACTGTGATGACCACTTGTGTTAGGAGTGTTTTCTGGTTGGTGATGGGGAAAAATCAAAATTATCGTCTACTACATCCGTGCTGCATGCCCAGAGGCAGAGGGGTGTTGCTGTCAGTGGGAATGCTGCACGGAGCAGGGACTGTTCTACACCCCTGTTCTTACAAATGGACTGAAGGCATCTGGCACTGCTTTTACATTGTGGTGCACCCCGTCACTACACCCTTGTCACAGCTTGCTGGGGGTCTGCATCTCCCACCCCTTGGGGTGTCAGTGCTGGATACCTTACCAGCAGAGATCAGACATGCTCAGGGGTGATTTATTACAGCAAATATTCCCTCAGCTGCAGAGAATCCTCTATTGTTTGTGTTCCGTGGCAGAGGAGCTTGGCTCCACGTGCTCTCCTTGAAAAGAGTTCACCATCCAGTTGAGGGTTCCTTTGGGTGCAGCCACATCCACGGCCCCAGAAGGTCCCTGTCTCTGCCAGGCTGATGTTGGGAAGGGCACAGGCTCATCCTGTGACGCTGGGGTTGGGGTGTGTGCTGGGAGCTGCCAGGCTGGGAGAGCCCTGGGGAGCTGGGCATGGGGGTTTTCCTGCTTGGTACTGACACAGTCCAGGAGAGAGGGTCAATGTAACCAGGAATGGGGCTGCTGTCAGGCTCCCTGGACTGAACCTGGAGCTAATGCTGCAGAATTGGGGTGGGTTTACACCAGCACAACCAGAATCAGAATTCAGCCCATAATTATTTTGTCCTGGACTGTCAAAAAAAAAAAAAAAAAAGAAAAAGTAATGCTTATAGTGTAACATACACCAGTTGAAGTAAGATTAAGTCTTTCATTATTTAGCACTCTGCCTCTACTTGAACCTGATTCACAGTCAGTCATTTCCTTTAGCAATACTCTAATTATGTTCTCCTTTTGATCTGCAGGACTGTGTGCAATTAAACCAGTACAAGCTGCAGAGCGAAATAGGCAAGGTAAGTACTGGAGTCGTGTTGGGCACAGGCAACCTGTGTGTACACACACAGGTGGAAAGGCTGTGCCAGCCCAAGGGACCTCACTGGCCAAGAATCTGTGCAACTTGTGTTTGTTTTGGGGGGGTTTGTTTGTTTTATTTCCTTATTAGTTTGAGCAAGTCTTATTCAAGGTCAAAGTGGAGCTACTTCCTCTGAAATCTAAATTTATTTTTCCTCCCTCGGAAGGTGGTTAAGCTGGCTCCCTTCCAGGGTGTTTGCTTGCCAAATGTAACACTAAGAGCCTTTGATGCATTAATACAACACAACAAGGAAAGTTAAAATAAAACCCCAACAAAAACAAGATCAGGGCAGGTGTTTGGTCCCCATCAGGACTAGGTAAAGTTTGTACGTCATATGAAATGCTCCTTTAATACTAGTCCATGTTTAAAAGCTGCAGAATGATTCAGAAGAGGTTGCTCCAAAGTTATTTAGAGGTCTGGGCTGGTGAGCAGCTCAGACACCTGCACATTTGGACGTCTGCCACCGTTGCAGATGGGTCCAGGAGTGGTGGTGCTGCCTGGAAGCTGTACCTGCCTTTGCAGTTGGAACATTGCAGTCAGAAGGGACTGCACCCTGAGCTGCAGAGACCTTCACCAAGAGTTTCATTAGCCCAAACTCCTCTCCAAGATGAGAGGCAGTGGGAGGAGGCACCCTCTCCATCTGTGCCGTGGGCTGTGCTGACAGGCAGGGAGTAAGGCTGGAGATACCACTGCTGCTGGTACAGCAGATGCCATCCCAAACTCAGCTTCAGACCCACTTAGGGCCTTTGTCATTGGCTTAAGTATGAAGGAGAGTGTGAGACCTTCTCTCAGGTGGATTTGCACCTGCCTCCTCCTTCCCTGTGGATCACAGTGAGGTTGGTAGAGGGTCTGCTGGCCCTGCTGTGTGTGCTCCTGGATCAGCCAGATGGCTTGCTGGTCTCTGAGACCAGGACCTTATTCCAGCTTCTAGTGAAGTTAAGAGAAATGTATTGAAGGCTCTGGTGTTCAACCCACTCATTTATTCAACAGGCATCTGTCAGGGATGGTAGCTAGCCATGGTGTCATGTCTCACTTGCATAAAATGTTTAGTGTTGACACAGAACTGCGAAAAAACAGTGATTTGGATGGAGTTTGGCTTCAGGCTATCACTGGAGCTGGGGATGCAGCAGCAGTCCAGGTCTGCACCTGCCTGGGCAACATGTAGTTGGTGGAAGGCAGGCAACTGGTCATCACTGAAGTCCATCTGCTGTCAAGAGATGGAGAGGTTTTGTGCTGAAGGTGGTTTTGTGCAGAAGTACAGGAAAGGTATTCATGCAGAATTTCCAAACTTGCACCGAAAAATATCTACTTGAAAATTATGCTCCCCACCCACGTTTGAGTTCAGACAGACACAGTGGCTTTGGCTCAGGGCAGGAGGTGATGGGCTAAAAGGACGTAATCCTCCAATGCCCAGCAAAATGTACAACCTCGCTGTGGGGTCACGTCACCTGCAGACCTTGCTCAGGGGTCAGGGTGGCCTAGAGTTGTTTTTTTACCCTGTGTAAAGCTGTGCTCTACCAGCCTTGAGCAGCAAGAAGCCAAGGTGAAGCTGCTGAACTGACTGTGCAATTGGTGTTTATTTTTAGGGTTCCTACGGCGTTGTGAAACTGGCCTACAACGAGAACGACGACAAGTATTACGTAAGCGCGTCCCTCCTCTGCTCCTCATTGCTGCTGCTGCTCCTCACTCCCCTTCACCCCCCTGAGAGCTGGGGCCCCTCTGCCCTGCTGCTTTTAGCACGTGCACTTCTGGTTTGTGTGGCACTCAAGGAGTTGAACGTCCTGCTGGGCACGGACCTGCTCTGTGCGTGCGGTGCCGGGCGGGAGCGGCTCGGATCGGGTGGGCTGCCTTATGTAACAGGAGGGATCTCAGAGGCAGGAGCGTGTTGCTGATTTGTCTTGACATTTTCTAGCTATGAAGCAGGTCACCTGAAATTAGAGGCGTGTGGGTGGTGGTATTCAGCACCTGCTGTGCACAGGAGGGTTGGCCTGGAACGAGCAGGCGTGTTTTGTAAGGAAACGGGGGCGTTTATCAGAAAGATGCTGAACAGCGTGGCCTGGCTGGGCAAGGCCCCCTTGGGGAGGGGTCTTACCCCCTTGGGGAGTGCCTGGGGGGCACTGAATGGGGCTCACTGTCAGGACATGAGGTGTAGGGTGGAAGGCAGAAGGCAAACCTTGGCTTTTGACTCCCTTGCTGGGCTGAAGGGCAGAGTTGGAGAGTTTCAGATTCAGAATGGCTCCTTACACCGAGGGCTCCTGCTCTGTCCCTCCCCTTCCAGAGGCAGGTGAATCCCAGCCATCCCAGCTGGGATTCCTGCAAAATCTACCTGCAGATGTGCTCGTGTCCCCGGGCTTGCCCAGGGACTCATTTTGTTCAGGCTCAGAGCAGGAGCTGGAAGGAAGGAAAAGTGCCTTGCCGTGTGGGGCTGTGCCTGGAGGCTTCTGGAAAGAGCTTCCAGCAGTTTCTGATGGATCCAAGGGCAGGAATTGGCTGAGCAGAGCTGGGTGGTTGCAGTGCTGTTGAACCTGAACCCTGCTGCCCCCAACACAGCTGCTGCTCCACTCTGTGTTTGATGAGAGGGTCCTGCTGTTGCTCCCACAGTAGAGTGGCCTCATGTGGGTGAATATTCCAATGTGGCCCATCAGAGCACCCAGGCAGACTCATGTGCTGTTCCCTGTCCCTGCTGGCTTTGGTACAAAGAGGAATAAGGGTATGCTGTGGATTGTAAAGCGTCCTCATTCCCCACCACTCCCCAGCGGGTTTTCCTCCCTAACTCTTGGATTTACAAGTGACATCCCAGGTCGAAGAGGTCAGGTGGAATTTTATGCCTGTGGGTATTCCTTGGCCCTTCTGTGCTCCCAGCAGGCATGAAATTGCAGGAGGAATGTCTTGAAGTGAGGGATGGAATTGTTGAGACAAAAATCTGGACAAGGTGCCCTGGAGCTGGCCAAGCAAAGGAACCACAATTCTTTCCATCTCCTGTCCTTTCCAAGCTGACTCACCACTGCACCGGAGCAGTTGGTGTTTCCAATGGCTCCCTGTCTCTCCCAGTCCTCCTTCCCCTGCCCTGCAGCAGGATGATTTGTTCTGCAGAGGGTGATGGTGCCAGCCGTGGTTTCCCTGATCCATCTGTCCCACCAGCACAGGCAGTGCCAGGACCAGCAGCACAGGGTGGGAATGCACTGCATCAATAAATCACATTTATTTCCAGCTGAAGATATTTTTGCTTCTAAAATTGTAGTCCTTACATTTTGGCACTTCCCTTTTGATCTGGGAATCCTGTTGCTGTCCCCTGTGGGCTGCCCAGGGTGGGCAGGGCAGCTGGCACAGCTCGGCAGGGGAGAGCTGGGGTTGGGACAGCATTGCCTGCTGTGCTCCTGTCTGTATTTTGGATGTACATTAACGCTGTGGATGTAGGTTTAGCTGGTCAAATCCAAGCCAAAAGTGAAAGCCTATGGCCAGGGTGTGTGTTAGTTAATCCCCACTTAATCTCTGTTTCTAATCTAAGCAAACACTTTAAAGGTACTGCAGCCCTGGAGGGGCTCCTGTGCCTGGTCCGTGTTTCAGCCTCGCTGCCCAAAGCAGGGCAGGGTATTGCAGACCCCCCTCCTGCCAGCACTGCAGGGATGTGCTCTTTGGTTTGCCCTGATCTTCCTTTTGGGGGCTTGAGGCAGGGTCTGAACCAGATCCCAGCTGGCTGTGAAGGTGATCCTGGGAGCTGTATGGAATTCTACAGCAGATGGAGAGATGTCTGCCCGTGTTTGATTGCAGTGGATGTCAGCATGTGGGAGAGGGGCTGCACTGCTGCCAAAAGGCTGAAGTCTGTGTCTCATGTACTTGCTACCCTTTCATCTGGGGCAGTGGGACCTTTCCCCCTTTCCCAGCTGCAGCCACATGCAGACAGCCCAGCCCCCCTGATCCTCCCAGGTGCCCGTGCTTGTGTTTTCTGGGAGTGTGAGCTGTGATGGAGACACCTCCGCTTTCCCGAGACATTAAACCAGCTCAGGAGCTGGCAGACTTTTCAAAGCTTCAGAGAAACAGTGCCAGTTGCATAACTGGCTAATGGCTGCTGAGCTCCCCACGCTGCCCCATGTGCCTGACCCCCGTGCTCTCCCAGTCAGACAATTTCCATCCTGCTCTGCTTATCCTTCCCATCCAGAGCTGCTCCACAGCAGTGCACCCCGACCCCCCCAGGGGATACCTAATGGACCTGCCTGGTACCAGCAGTTAGCAGAAGCAATTGTGATTCTAATAGTTGGAGAGGACCTTTTCTGTGTGGGTTTTTTCCCCCCAAAATTTAGCTTTGGAACGTTTTTGTTTTGTCTCGGTGGTGAAAAGCACCAGTGGAGGAAATCTGCCCTTGGTTGGTCTTTAGTGAGCAAGGCCAGGTTGGACAGGGCTTGGAGCACCCTGGTCTAGTGGAAGGTGTCCCTGTCCATGGCAGGGGGTTGGAACTACATGGTCTTTAAGGTTCCTTTAAGGTCCCAAACCATTCTATGATATGATGATTCTGTAACTGATTTATGTTTGCAGTGGTTTAGCATGAGGTCAGGGTCTTGCTGCCTGATTCATTGTCTTTAAGCTGGTGTGCTGCAATAAAAAGGAGCAAAGTGGTAAAGAAAGCAGAAGAAACTTTATTTTGGAGTATACTTCAGAGTGTGGCTCCTGATTCTTGCTGAGGTGTGGGGCTCTTTGGTAGTTCTCTTCAAAAAGGCAAAGTTTATAGGTACCAGGGACTGAATCTGGCTCCTTTTGAAGCAAAAGGAAAGATTGTTGCTGCTTTAGGGAGTTTTGGATCTGGCCTAGAATTAGGAAAAACTCTCAAGAAAATATCCAATCACTACATTTGGGAAAAATGTAGATGGGTCATGTTTACTTTGTGGGTTTTTTACCTTCCATTAAAGATGAGAGAGTGCTTCTAAGAGCTTTACCCTTCGTTGCTGTGAACAACCCCAGTGCCAGGGAGGGCTGTAAAAGTGTGCTGGCTCAAATCAGCGGATGCAGGGAATGTGTCAGACCAAGGAAATGGAACTTTCAGCACCAAGTACGTGACCTCCAAGGAGGAGACCCCCCTGGAATGCTGTGCTGGCTCCCAGAGCAGAGGGCCCTGCTGCTCTTGGGGCACATGCAGCTGTTCCAGCAGCGTTGGTGGGGCTCTGCCAAGGAACCCTTCACACTGGAAAGGTTTCAGTGTCTCAGTTTGCAGGAGATGCTTTGACGGTGACAAGGGGAAAAAAAGGAAAGGCTGAGCTCTGGGAAAAAGCAGCAAATAAAAAGCAAAGGCAGATGTGTCCGGGCAGAGATCTAGTTTGGAGTCATTGTGCTGATGGAATTTGATTCTGTGATGCCTCCGGTCATGTCTCCCTCCAATTTTCAATCTCTAAATCAGCTTGCAAGGAGAAGTGGTTATGATGGACATTTGTTATGCTACTGCTGCAATAAGGCAATAGCATTGTAGGTTGTCAGTGGGTTTCTTTTTTTTTTTATCCTTTTTAAATCTGGTTTCCTAAGAAACAAGATTTGTGTGATTGTGCTCTGTGTCTCTGTTTGTACCTATGCATAGAGGACTGTTTTCTACCAAGTCTCAGTGATGGGGAGAAATTCCTTCCAAGTTTATGAAAGCAATGGCTGAACAAAGTGCTGCTGAGGAGAAGGTGGCCAGCAGCAAGCCTTGAACTTTCTGGCCCCTGGAGAATCCACTTTGGTTGCCATCCAGGTTGGGAAGGGAAGGCACAGCTCCTGTGTTTCCCGTCCTCCTCCTCACATAACAACAGCTGCTGAACCACTGCCAGCTGTGCTCCGCAGTGGTGAGGACCAGGAAAAGGATCTCTGGCTTGTCCAACACCCCGTGTTGTTCAGCTCTGGGGTTGTGAGGGGCTGACCCACCTGCAGTAAGAGCAGGGAGACAGCTGGAGGCAGACAAGCATGGCCACTCCAGAAGGCTGTCCCTGCTGTGGTGGCACAGCATGGATGGGGCACAGCCTGCTGATGGAATTCTGCTGCTGTTGGGGCGAAAGGTGACAAATGCAGGAGCAGGATTTTAGGGCCATGGCAGCTAAGCCTGTCTGGCTGCAGTTCATAACACTTCTCTCTCCCAGCAGAGCTTCCCTCTCAACCACTTTATCTGAGGGATGTCATTGTGAGGAGGGACAGGTGAGGAAGGGCTGGGAATGCTGTCTGCTCTGTTCAGCATTCCCAGCATGCCTTCATGCACTAGCAGAGGATTTAGGTGGTAATAGCAACCTTTGAGTGGCATCCCACTCCCCTGGGAGCTGCAGGCAGGGACTGTGCCCAGGGCTTCTGCCCTTGCATTGCAGGTCTCTCTGTTAACAAATAAAATGACATCCTGACATGTTGTGAGAGGACCACAAAGGACAGGTGGTAAGTTCCCTTGGCTCAATCATGTTGTCACCCTTCCCTCCCAAAACTAATGGCCATTTTCTGGTTGTCATCACCAGCAGCTTGTGGTCTCACTGTTGTGAAAGCTGCTGAATGCCAGGCATCCCTTCTCTCCATAAACCTGGGATCTCCTTTCCCTCAGGCAGCTTCCCTGTGGTTTCCAGCTGTCAGGTTGATAGGAGGAGAGCAGTAAACTTTAAGATAATAAATATATATATAAAAGAAAAGTACACAGTCCCTGCTGCCTCTCAGAGGGAAATGTCAAGCCCCATGGCCACGCGTGAATAGTCGGAAGGAAGATGTTTGCAAGGGCATGTATGGAGGAAATCTCCAGGCTCCCTCTTTTCCTGAGGAGGCTGAAGCAACGCTTGCCTGTGCAAAGGGAAAATCCCTCAGCTTGGCTCTGAGCTGGTTCTTTATCAGAAAGGCATTATCTGGGTAATTAGCTCTGCCTGTGAGTACAAATGTCTTTGGCTCTGTCGTGCGTGTGAGCCCGAAGGAGAGGTTTGCTGGAGCATCCCTGAGTTGTTCCTGTTACACACAGCCACAGTTCAGGAGGAAGCCTGGTCCTGCCAGCTCCCTGGAATTAGAGTGAGGCTTCACAGCCCCATGCTCTCCTCTCTGCTCCTGTGGTAATTAAGTGGCTCTGGCCTGTTGCATGAGGAACTTTGCTTTTTGTCCCCTCTTTGAGTTTGTAAGCGCAGTGGAACAGGTTCTGATCCAGCCCTGCTTGTGCAGTAGTAGGTACTGGTGCTTTGAAACTGGTGTAAGCATGTCCTGGTGCTTCTTCTCCAGCAGTAGTGGTAGTTTACAGTCAGCTCACCTACAATACAGTAACCCCCCATCTCCCCTCATCCCATCCTTCAAGGAGTTCGGGTCACAGCAGTTGCTCTTGTTCCCTCCATTTCTGCCCCTGAGAGCAATTCTTGTCTTTGCTATTGCTCCTCTCTGTACCTTCCTGCTCCCTCCAGCCTCTTCCAGAGCCTGTCCTGGGAAGGACCAACCTGATATGAGCATAGCTGGTGGCAGTGGTTCAGTTCCTCAGGCTGAGTCCCCCAAGCACTGATGCAGCTTGGGAGCTTTCAGCAGCAAATCGCATCTTCTATTTTTTTCTTCTTCCTAAAGCTCCTTGCCAGAAGGCAGGGAGGACTCAAGATGGAATTGGAGCAAGGAGAGCCTTCTCCTCCTGGGTTGGCAACAGTTGAAAGAGAAATGGATGTATCCATTCCTTTGATTTTTCTCATAAATTTTCATTATGGAGAGATAAAAGTGGGGAGCGTAGGAAGGCCTCCAGGCTTGGTCCTGGCCGTATTTGGAGGTGGTTGAGCACATCTTGGATCCTCTCTCAGCAGACCATGAATCATTTGTCTCTGTGTTGGACACAGTGCTGTGCTAAGTGAAAGATAAGCACTTCTGAGTCTGTCTCTCAGCACCGTCGTTCCCAACAGTTGGCTTGGAGCTGTCAGGCAGGATCGAGAGCTACACAATGTCTCTTCTCAATTACACGGCTGCAAATCCAGAGGATTTCACTGGATCAGTACCAAAAATAACAATCCTTCCATGAATCTGGCTGCAGCAGGAGCACTGATGGGAGGTGGGGATCCCAGGGCATGTGATGGCATCGCTGCCAGGAAAAACAGCTCGGGAAGGAGCTCACTGGAATGGTTTCGGTGCCCTGTCCCTGGTATACGTGTTAAAAGCAGGTAGGGTGCAGTGAGCCTGCCTCTGTGGCATTAATGCAAAATTCCTTGGCATTTGACTGTGTCCTGCAGGAGTCCTCAGTTAATTGTATTTTGCTAGGATCACTCCAGTGTGAATTACAGATTTGGAGGCTTAATTAGTAGGAGTAAGTGCTCCTTCTAGGGGAAGGAGTGAGTGGCCATCCCAGCTTCTGTAAGCGTAGGCTGCTTTCCTAAGCAAATTGTTCCATGAGCTGCTTTCTCATGAAATATTTATCTGCTGGGCCACTCGGGGCTGTTTGAGTGGCCCTCCAAAAAGGTTATTAACGCACAGAGCAGATGGAGGCACAGGCACTGTTTATTAAATTCTGATTGCCTTTTGCCACCGTGCTAATGCCAACTGGAGGGCAGAAAAGATTACCCTGACCCCCTCCCACGCCTCAGCAGTGCCAGCATGTGATGGGGTATGAGAAGGGGAGGGAAGCCTTTGGCAAAATCCTGTTTCCCTCCCTGTGCCTTCGCCAGACCCCTGCCCAGGGCTGTCCTCACTGTGTCTGAGGGTGCAGGGATGGATGCCCACCAAGTGTCTTGTTCATGAACTTGGGCATGGTGGTGGATCACACTGCAGCTGCTCTGTATCACTCTGGAACCATGGAAAGGGTTTTTGGGGCAAAAAATAACCCCTGGGAATGCAAAGGGCCTCCCCAGGCAGACTGTGTCCTGGCCCTATTCCAGGTCTGTGATGGAGATTCCAAGGGTGTTAGCTTTATGGCTGTGACACTCCAGCTCTTTTGCTTCCTAGACCCTCTGGCAAAGCAAAACATAAGGTGGAGCAGCCTTGAAGTGGCTCTGACTTGCAGCATGAGGAACCCCCCTCTTCCCTCAAGCTCCTGCCCCAACTGCAGAAACTGGGCTCCTTTTTCTTTGTCCAGTTGAAAATAAATCAAAACCACCTAATTTTTTATGGGAAAAAATGAATGAAAAAAATGGTTAGCAGTGCTTTTAGGAAAGCCTGGGTCAGCGTCTGTCCTTTGTGACCACTACTAACCAGGACACATTTTCTCTAAGTTGAGGAGCAGACCTGAGCCAGTCCCTGATGCCCAGCACACTTCCAGGTCTCAGCAATGTGCACTTTGGCTCTTGTTCAGTTTTAACACTGCTTTTTCTTCTTCCTTCAGGCTATGAAAGTCCTCTCCAAAAAGAAGCTCTTGAAGCAGTACGGATTTCCACGTGGGTATCTCACATTTGGAGGTCTGCCTGTTGCTCTCAGCCAGGAAAATCTCTCTGTAGAAGCATTGTCTGCAAGGACTGCAGAACTTGGCCTCATCTGAAAGCTGCCCATGTGGTTTGGGGCTGGTTAAAACGCCACTTGTGTAGTGAAGGGTCAGGTACAACCCCAGGGAGATTCAATGCACTCAGTAATTAGAGTCCTGGCTCTGATTTTTGTGAGTCTCTTTGAAGTGGTGACTCTTCCCATGTTCACCATCTATGAAGCCTAATTAAGTGCTGGAAATTAGGCAGGGTAGTCCTCCTTCTTCCAGGGGCTCTTCTACCCCCTGGGATAGTACCTGGCTGGGCCATGGGAGCCCCCAGACCAGGCTGGGAGGAGCTGGTCTGAATGAGGCTTGGAAATCTCAGTTCCAGGTGGGAGACTCAGTTCCAGGATGAGAACAAGGGGATGAGATCTTCCAGAACAGCTGGAGGTAGCTGCAGAGGGGCCAGTGGCTGCCCATCCTGTGAAGAGTTCTTCACTCTGTTGTCACTCTTGCAGGTCGGCCTCCTCCCAGAGGGTCCAAAGCATCCTCTGGAGAGCAGCCCAAGCCCATGGCACCACTGGACAGAGTCTATCAGGAAATAGCCATCCTAAAGAAGCTGGACCACATCAACATTGTTAAGCTGATAGAGGTGAGCAGCTCCTCCACCCTAAGCTATGCTGAAACAAGTCTGGTTTGTATTGCAACAAGAGGATCTTTCTCCAACTGCCCCTACTGCAGCCAAAATTGGTTTAAAATAGTTGTTCAGAAATTCAGGCTGGTGATTCCAAGCAGGATCCTACCAGTTATGTAGGACAAACTGATACACTTACCCAGGGCTGTGGGCTGGTGCCCAAGAGAAGGCAGCTCTCTCTGCTGGTAGAAATAGCAGTGAGCCTTGATCACTGAAACTTGTGTGCAGACAAGCCTGGGAAGGTGCACAAGTGCAAGGCTTTGGTGCCTTTTTCATTATTGACTGAGGTCAGGTTAGGACAAGCAGTGCCTTTATTGGTAGGCTGTTTCTCCAGGCAGAAGCCCAGATTTTTCTGGAGACAGGAAAATCTGTGTCCTTCAATGCTTCTCTCTCTGCAGGACTCTCTAAATATTAGTCTAAGTTGTTCTCAGTGCTCTGCAGTGCACAGTGTACAGGGAGCAGTAAAACGTTACTCCATTAAATATCTCTTATTTTTCCTGCTGTTTTTCTTTTTCTCCTTCCCCCTTATTTTTCTGTTATCAATCACAGGTCCTTGATGATCCTGCAGAGGACAACTTGTACATGGGTATGTGAGTCTCATATACTAACAGAACCATCTGGGCTTAGACCTAGTGATGCAAGTGGCACGTAGCAGGGCTCAGGGTCAGTACCCCAAACTCAAGCCAAGCTCTCCCTGAGGAGCAGGAGATCAGTCCCAGCAATGGCAGCAGGAGCAGGACAGGTGGGGAATCTCTTGGGGGTCCTCAGGAGGTTGTGCTGGGGGATGAGCAGTGGCCATGTACTTGTTGTCCATGTTCCATCACCCCTTTCCTCTGCCTTGGATCCTGTGAGTGGTTCAGGCAAATCAAGCTCCTGCCTCTGCAGTCCCTCAGCAGAAGGGGAAGCTGTGGGTGCTCAGCACTGCTCAGGACTGAGCCTCCTGCAAGAGGCTTCCTCCCTCCTGCTGCTGACCCAGATGATGATAACTGCACCTTTCTCCTTCCAAAAATGCCCTCCCACTACAAAGCAGATCTAGAGGAAGTGGTGTTTGTTCTTTGCTAATGATTGCTGGCATCAAATACTCCTGTGAGTGCTCAGCTGCGTGGGCATGGGGAAGGAATCTGGGATGGAGGGTGTCTGTAGGCACTGAGCAACCTGCAAACGGGATGGTTGAATAATGAGATGCTGCCACAACCTGCAGCTTCTTCAGCCTGGGGGGCAAGATGAGCCAGTGCAGGCTGCCCTGTTGTGTTTGTACCTTCAGAGAACCTAACACCCCACCACAGGGCTGCCTGGTGCTCTGGGGAGGGGATCTGCTGGGATTTCTTGGGAGATGCAAGAAATCCCTTAGTAATTCACGAGGAAAGAGCTCTCCTACTCTAGAATAAAGGCAGGTCCTTCTCCTGTTTGCACAGCAGGTCAGAGCAGGATCACAAAACCACATTGCCACTAACCCCCTAAATAGGCACACAAACTGATGTGCTCTGCAAACCTCAGCTCACACCAACAAATCCTCTCCAGTTGCTCCTGCCAGGGTGTGTTTGCCTCTGACAGACCTGTAGCTGTGCTGCTGATTGACACAGCAGAAACAGGGCAACGTGTTCTTACAGCATCTCATTCAGTATCAGCAGTTTAGCAGAAATATCACACCAAACATCCTCCCTGAAGGTACTGAATGCCACGGGGCTCAAATCAGTGAGGGCTGACAGCAGGAGCAGCAGCAGCAGTGGGGTTGATAAATTAGCCCCACTGTCTCCCTGTGCAGAGCTGGCAGGAAGAGGGAGATTTGTCTGTGCTGAAGAGATGAATGTTTTCATTTTGCATCCTCTGGTGTCCTTGTCATGGGTGAGGGAAGAGAAATGAGTGGAGGTAAATTGATTTTGTAGGTATAGGAATTGATGTGTTCTTATAGGTGATGAATAACGAATAAGCCCAGTCTGCTCTTCTCCTTCATTCATAGTTTATTTCCTTTTCTTGCAGTGTTTGACCTCATGAGGAAAGGGTAAGTAGCCCTCCTGGGATCCTTTTTGTTGAAATTTTTGGTGTTCATCATTAGCTTCCCAGGTGAAATGGAGGTTTGATGCATCCAGTGGGGCAAACCTCTGTCTGTAGGCACAGGGGAAGCAAAACTCAGCTGTAGTTGCCTTTGCACTGCTACAGCCTAGAATGATGTGGTGAATAGTAATGGGCTGGGAGGACATGTCCTGGTGTCAGGCTCTGATTCAGAAAACAAGTTTGATGTCAATTCCCCATCAGGTGCCTGGAAGAAAAGGTTTTAATAGGAATACTCTGCTGGGGTGCCAGCCACATCGTGGCTTCCTCTGGCACAAGGGGTGTGTGGTTGCATCAAGATTTACTACCTTATTTTGCCCCCAGCACTAACCTGTCGTGGGAGGCTGTTTTGTTGACACATTTTTCCATAGCAGGAGAAGTGATAAAGTGGTGGGAGGCTCCTCACTGCTTTTTGCTACACCTGCACGGATTCTGCAGCTCTGCAGAGTCACAGGGAGGTCAGGAGAGCTGTGCCCAGGATGAGGGAGATTCCCAAAGGGCTTGTTTTTCTCTCTGTCCCCATGACTGAGGTTGCAGGCTGCCAGCTCTGGTGGGTTGCTGGTGAGAGGCTCCCCAGTCTCCCTGGTGATGCCCATCCTGTAGGAGAGGGAGCTCCTGTAAACAACTGTGTCCAGGGAACGTGTGGCTCGGCCGAGAGCAGCCTGGCTGCCTCCAGCAGAAGGCAATTAGACTCCATTAGTGGCTCTGCCAGGCCTGCACTCACATTGTTTCTCCCTGGTTTCAGCAACAGGAAAATGTGTTTGAACAGGGAGGGAAGGCAGTGGCAGGAGAACGCAGATGGGAGATGAAGGTCATCAATCAAATGGGCAGCGAGGGAGAAAAGTGCTGCAGGAAGGATTTGATGCGGGGTGCTGAGGGGAAGAGCTGAAGAGCCTGGTTTTTGGTAATAGGCTGTTCCCTGCCAGGGTCTGGCTTGCCAGGACAGTGTCTCAGGAGCACTCACTTAAATCCAGCTCGAGTGAGTGGGCGTACGTCCAAATGCAAGGCCAATCTGCTGAGCACAAGCAGGATTAACCCCCAGTGCAGTGAAGTCCTCAGCTCCTGCCATTCATCCTCTGGGGAACAGAAGGTTCTGACTAGCTCTTACAGCCTCTTTGCCCTCAGCTTTCAGCAGGCACAGGCAGAAGAGGGGCTTTTAGAGGAGCCTGTGCATCCCTCAGCAGTGGCGGCACACAAAGGAAAGGAGAGGAGAAGCTGACCAGGTAACCTTGGCTGTTCAGGGCCAAATGGCTGAGTTCTGGTGGTGGCTGAACCCTGAACAGCTAAATAGGTTTTCAAAGCAGTTTAGCACAATGCACTGAAAATATTCCCACTTAACCTTTGAGCCAGTGGTTCCTGTCTAGATCCTGCTTGGTGTAGACCAGCTGCATGCTGATGTTGCTTCAGGACTGACATCCAGTGCACGCCATGGGCACTGGCACTGTCCCCACTGCTGCCTGGGACCTCCTGGTGATGCTGGAGCTCACAGCCAGGAGCAGCTTTAGCAGGAAACCAATGGCCAGATCCAGTTTTGTTCTTTTCCCTTTAGGACTCTCAGTGAATAGTGTTTGCCTTATTTTGTGCAAACATCAGCAGTTAATCCTGATGATGATGAGGGCTCTGTGAGTCATGCTGGCTCAGGGACTATGCAAAGCCACCCATGACTGCTAGCCAAGCTCACTAATCAGGGTGTCACCACTTCCAGAAGGGATGGGCACACCTCCATCCTGTGTCACAGCACCCAGAACCTCTTGGGAGCCAGGCCCTCAATGCTGGGACATGGTGATGGAGAACATACTCCTCCTGCAAGGGGTGACGCTGCCATTCTGCAAAGGACTGAGTTGCTCTCCCTCCTCTTCCCAACAGGCCTGTCATGGAGGTCCCCAGTGAGCAGCCCTTCAGTGAGGAGCAGGCTCGGCTCTACTTCCGAGACATCGTCCTGGGCATCGAGTACTGTGAGTACCCAGCACTGACAGTGCTTTGCTGAGCATGTACCTCGGCCCCCTGTGCAGCTGGGGAGGAGCATCTCAACGCTGGTGGGCTCTCAGATGAGCCTGTGAGGTCCCCTCTGTTTGCACGTGATGGGGTTTGCAGCTGGAAGTGGCCCCACTCAGCTCAGGTTTACCCAGGCAGTGTCACAGATCCCTGAGAAAGGACATTGGAAAAACAGTGGCTTCTGTTTTTCTTCTGTGTATCTCTTTCTGAAGGCAACAGCAGAGCCAGAAAATGGGTGTTTGCAGTGATGTGGACTGAGTCAGTCAACTTCAGCTGGAATAAATTTCTTCTTTGTGGGTTAGCAGGGCAAGCAGTGGCTATGGGGAGAGCTGGCAAGTGGCACTGGGAGGGTGTTCTTGTCCACTCCCTTTGCAGAATCTGTCTGAGCAACTCCTCATCACTCAGGGCTGTGGGGTGATGAGAGCCCAGCACTGCTCTGCCTTCCCAGGGACGTGGGGACTCAAGTGTGTTCCCAGGCTCTGCCCAGAGACTCCAGCAGCAGGGATCCTCTTTGCAGCCTATTTGATTATTGTCACCTTTTTTAGTGACACCTTCTCCCACTGTGGCTGAGGCCAGATTCACTGCTGAGTGCCTGTTCTGCAGAGTACCAGGAGGCCACAATAGGCCTGTAGAGGACAGCAGGGATTTTTCTGGCCCCACTGTAGTTGACATGGCCCTGCTGGCCTGAACCTGGCAGGGGTGGGAGAAGAGGTGTCCCTGAGCTGAAGGCACGAGGTGGAGTGATCTATGCTGGCATCTTGTGAGCAGTGATGACTGGCAGTTACTACTTCTGTACCTCAAACTACTGGTGAGCTGAGTTTGGCTCTGTGCCTGTTTGATCCTGATGTTCTCCTTGCAGACAGCCTTCTGTAGAGTTCAGTGATCTCACTTCACCACTGTTTTCTCTGCACACTGGTTGCCTGTGGTCACTATGAGGAGGAAGAGACAGTAGAGCTTTTTCAGAGGCAATTCACACCTTGCAGATCTGTTTGAGAGGAGACAGCAAATATGTAGATAAGCTGATCCTGTTATTACACTTTTTGTGCTTCAATTGCCAAACAGCTTTTGATTAGATCTTTTAACAGTAGCTCATAAAGAAGCTCCTGTGTCTCTTTGGTTGGATGGGCTTTTGTGGATTAAAAACTAGACAATCAGGAAAGTTGTAATACAGCTTTCACAGTGGAGAAAAGTCATACATGCAGTTAAGTAGAAATCTATAATGTGGGCTGAGTTGTTCAATGTATTCCTAAATGACCAGAAAAAGGGTAGAGGACAGTAAGAGATTGGTGATGACACCAAGTTATTCAGGGTAGCTGTTGTTAGGACTGACTGCAAAGACTGGCAGGAAAATGCCATTATAGCAAGCATGATAAAATGAAAGATAAAAATTCATGTTACTGACTGCAGGGTAATGCATGAGGGGGAGAAACAACACTAAAAATACATACAACGTGATGGGCTCTAAATTATCTGTTCTCACTCAGGCTTTATTCTGGATAGTTCTCTTGAAAATGCCAGCCCATTACTTAGTGACATTCAACAAAGATAACAAGATTTAGGGAATTACTGGGAATGAAATAGAGAAGAAAAGAGAAGTTGTCATTATGCAGTTATTTGGATCTCTAAGAGCTCTTAGGTACAGGCGAGGAGTATCCTGAATATTTTGTGCAGCTCGGCTCAGCCTGTCTTAGAAACAGCTCTCTAGAACTGAAAAAGGCCCAAGAAGGGTGATCAGGATGGTCCTGGAACATGTTATGGACAGAGATAAGACCAAAGCTCTTCAGAATGGAAAATCATCATGGGAAGGGGTGATATTACAGAGGCTGATATAAAATCCTAAATGCGAGAGAAGGAAATGAATCTTCTCTGTGTCTAAAAACACAAGAACCAAGGGGTAGCAAACAAAATAATCAGGCAGCCAGTTGAAACCAGGAGAAATTATGCATCTGGCTTCAACCACCCAGAGAGAACAAGTCTCTGAGCGTGATGGGCCTTGCTGAGGCAGAGGAAGGTGGTTTGCAGTGCCCCAGTCCATCTCCACATTGTGATGCAACACCACCTCATTTTTTGTCTGAAACTGGCTGGTCCAGAACCTTCCAGGTGCTGCCAAAATCAGTCAGATCACTCCAGAAAGTTGGTGAAGTGTTAGATATGAATGGGAAGCTCGAGACTGTCTCTGAGTAGAGTTTGAAGGGCGAAGAGGCAGCTTTTTATATTCTCATTAGCATTCATATTGTAGCAGAGCCTGTGTGCCTCAGCTGGGAGATCCAAGCTCTGCTGTGCTGGATGCTGCCAGAACAGTTCCTGCTCAGAGGAAACTTTTGAGCTTAGAAGATGGAGGAAAAAAAATAAAGTTTTGATACTCCTAGGCAGAGGGAGTGAAACTAAGCAATAAATTATAGGATACCCAGCAACAGGAACAATAGGATGCTTTATTTTGGGCAATTGAGTAACCACTTATTTTATTAGTGAATGAAAGTTAAAAATGGTGTTCTCTCTGAACTGCTGGGTAAATGCATGGCAATTATTACATAATTAAGAGGAAAAGTGCACCGTTTGTGCATGCTGAAGGAGAAGTGTTGCCAGGCAATCCAGAGATTGCAAGGTAATTTTAATGTAAGCATCCATAATCGTTATGTAATTTGGGAGGCTCAATAACCATGCAGCTGCTTGAAGCTCGCAGTCATCACAGCAAGCACATGCATCATTGCTGGTTGGGTTTTATTAGATTAGGAGTTGCAAACTGGATTGCTGTTGGAGCCTGCAAGGTGTTAGTCCAGGCCAGTGCTGATGGTGAGCAGGAAGGGGCTGCAGGGGCCAGGCTGGGGGGAGATGTGGGCTGACCTTTGAAATTACCGATGGTGGCACTTGGGCCGTGGCTGCTGTTTGTCCCTGGGGACTGGACTCACTGGTAATTCATGATGTTTGCCTGGGGTGGAGGACTCCTGCAAGAGGGCTGGCTGTGGGGGGAAGTCTGGAGAGGGGCAGTGGTCCAGGTGATGAGAGCAGAAGCATCCCATGCTGAATGGGAAGACTTGGGCGTGGTGGGAGGCAGGGACAGTGTCCTGCCAGGAGCTCCCTCATCCAATGGCATGGTGCTGCCTCACTTTGTCCACTGCTTTTGACTGGATTTCTGGGTTTAGTACCCTTATTACCAGGAGTACACCTTGCTGCTCACAGTCCAAGCCTTGTTCACTGAGCAGTGAGGAAACAGAGGCAGGTTGAAGGCGTGAGAGTCAGGGTGATCTGTCCATGGTAAAGTATCCCTTCCTCTGGCCCCTGAACTGCTGGGAACATACTTTGAGCTTAAGCATGGTCATATTACTGATTCACACATTCTGTTGTAGTACACCTGCCTTAGACCCGGGCTCTGTGGTGTGGGCTGTGTCAGGAATTGTTCAAGAACATGAAAACTTTTATTGGGTCCCTGCAAAAGAAAGTGGTTTTGCTCCCATTCCCAGGACATCCCCAGTACTGCTGACACTGCACTCCCCCCAGAGGAACTGGGGAGGCCTCTGCATGTGTAACTACTACTGAAGAGGTAATTCCAGAGTGTGCTCAAGTGCTTTGGATGGGAAAGTTTTGCTGGATTATTTGTGTCATTAACTAAAGTGTGTTCCTGAGCGTCTCTCTGAATTAGAGATATGTGCAATTACCTCCCTTTCCACTTGTAGTAACCTTCTAGTAGTGCTTGTCTGGGGTTATTTAAGCTTCAGTCTCCCTTCTAGTAAGGCCAACGTTCCTTTCCCAGTGATGCTCAGCAGAAATAAATGTGCTGGATAGCAAATAGGGCATACTCCCATCAAAAGACATGAGGGATATGCCAGGCAGGTATCCCAGTTTGATTTTAGGACTGGGACATGAGTGTCTTCATTTAGTAAGAGCCTGAGCAAGGAACAAGAGTAAGCAAACAGAAGGGCTGTCTGGGCAGGTGGCCTGGCTGTGACACTGGCCAGGAGCAGCCACTTAGCACAGAACAGGCACGCAAGTGTGACCCAGGGGAAAACCCTGCTGACTGGCACAGCCAGGATGAAGCACAGCCACTGCCCCTGCTGCTGTGGAGCTGCAGGCTCAGTATTCAGGTCACGAGAAGCTAAAACAGTTGCTGTCAGTGTGGCTGAAGAAATAAAAACGTTATTTCCTGCGCTCTCTGTAGAAAGTCACAGTTTCCCTCCTGGTGACTGTGTCCAGGGGATCTAAGGGTGGTGGTTCTGGTCCCCTCTGCAGAGGAGTGCTCGTCTCATCTGAGCTATTGGGTTGAAGGGAGGGTCATGACATGCAGCTAAAGCCATTGGGCAGCAGTTCTCTGCAGGGCACCTCTCTAGATGCCTGCAGTGCCCCAGAGTCCTGCAGGCTGAGCCTGGAGCCATAACGATCTGATGTGCAGATCAAAGCTGGCTTTTCTGAGATAACACTAAATCTACTTGGTCATCAATATGTGAGTGTAATTTCCTTTATCTTAAAAGGAAATTTAAGCAAATAAATCAACAGCTGAGTCAACACAGGCTTGTCTCTCCTGAAGAATATCTACAGCAATGTAAGCCCAGGGTGGGTGTGCTGAAGCATCAGTGGTGTAGATGGGTTTGGTCTGGTTTGACCCTTGGCAGAGGTCAGTTCCTCAGGCTGGTGTGGGTCAGCAGAGCTGGGACATGAGTCTGTGGTGGAGCTGCTGCCTGCTCTACTGTGATTTCTAGCAAGGTGCTGACTCCATCTGTGCCTTCATTCCCATGTGGGAAATAGGGAACTGCCTCTTCTCTGCTCCTGCCTCTTGCCTGTGTGAGTTCAGAGCTCCTCAAACAGGGTGTGCTGAGGTGGGAGCTACAGCTGCAGGGTCCTGGATGTTGTAAAGGAGAAGAGAGGCTGGTTTGTGTTTTATCACATGCAGACAAGCTCTCTTTAGATGATAAAGACCAAACAAAAAACCGTTTCATGAGCTGCAAGTGTTTCTGATCCTGATCGA